TGCCTAGTTTTAAATGTCACTTTACTGTGCATTAAACTTTCAGGTTATGTTTTTTGTTTTTGGGTGGTCTGTTTTATCCATTGAACTGTCTGCTTCTTTTTACATCAGCACTGCACTATTTTAACTTCTTGATAAGTATTGTAGTATTTTACAGTTTCAATGTTCCCCCTCCTTATTATTCTTTTTCTGTCTTCTCCCAGCAATGTGTACCTTGAAATTATTTGAAATGAAGTTTTAATCAGTATTCCAAGTTTTAAAAAAAATCTTAGTGAGATTTTAATTAGCTTGAGAATTTTAACTGAATCTCTTGAATCAGTATATCCAGATACATATGATGTCTCTCAATTTATTTAAGTCCTATTAATATGTTCCTCTTAGCTTTTAGTTTTTTTAAAAAAATAAATCTTTTAAAAATATTATTTAGAGAAAAAGAAACATGTTGTCCCACTTATTTATGCTTTCATTGGTTGCTTCTTATATGTACCCAGGCTGGGATTCAAATCCACAACCTTGGCACACCTGGACCATGCTCTAACCCAGTGGTCGGCAAACTGCAGCTGGCGAGCCACATGCGGCTCTTTGGCCCCTTGAGTGTGGCTCTTCCACAAAATACCACGTGCAGGCGCACACATACAGTGTGATTGAAACTTCGTGGCCCATGCGCAGAAGTCAGTGTTTTGTGGAAGAGCCACACTCAAGGGGCCAAGAGCCACATGTGGCTCGCGAGCCGCAGTTTGCCAACCACTGCTCTAACCAACTGAGCTCCCAGGCAGGGTGATACTTTCATTTTTGGATTTTGGGTTTGTTTTTGTTGTTGACACTTTTAGCGTAGTGATGTGGTAGTTTTTTTCCCTATGTGAATCCTGCCCACTTTAGACATATTTGGGATTTTTCATTTTTTATTGTGATGGAATATTTTTCCATTATCATTATAAGTGATTATTATATTAATATCTGTACAGTTGACAATCAGACTGAAGTTCTCAAGCTGTACTTTTGTAACTGGTGAAGGAGTTGACAGTTTATGGCAGGTTCACAGGGAAGGCAAACTGGATGGTAAAGATTTCACCAGAAAGATGTAATATTGAGGAATTTTTTGATGCAGATGAAAAAACAAAGTAAAATGCAAGCAAGAGGGGTTGTTTTTATTGAAGGGTAAGATAATTGTTTTTTAAAATGACATAAAATACCTATTTTTTTCCTCAAATCCCATTAGCCAAATTTTTCAGTAATTCGCTTACTGAGCTTATCATCTTCACCATTATGAAGCCTCTTCTGCTCCATACATGTTCCATATTCTTTACGATTTACAAACTTAAAGTCTAAATACTCATTTCCCCTTGCTTCTGTCTTTCTCTATCAGCAACTCCTGTCTTTCCATCTTTATTCCATTTCTTAGGAAGGTAAAATAGGTTGACTCCATATTCAACAGTAACTGGTATAAACATGTGAGTGCCAACAGAGACTCCTTTTAGTGTAGTTCTTGATCCAGCAATTCCAATAGGACTGCACCTGCTATGGTGGGTGAAACGCACAGGAGCAGGAGCAGGCCCACAGCAACAGCTAATGCAAACCCAGCTCACCACATTCCTACAACATTTGCTAATGATTTCAGGAGCTAGCCAAAATGAAAAGTAACAGCAACCAACACTGCATAAAACGCACCAGGAAAATGTGTAAGTTTGGTAAACACATCTTATAGCCAGACAGACACACAGATTTTAATTTAGGGAGTTATTCTTCTGAGGCCACTTATTGCCATTTTGTTCTTTGGTTCAATAGTTCGCAAAATTGCTTGGAAATGGAAACCCAGAAGCTGAGTGCCTGGACCTTTCGCAAAAATTGCTGCTGGTGAAGGGGTCCCTGCTGAGGGACGAGTGCCTTCATTGGTAAAAGAATTAACCAAATCAACAAAAAAATTCTCAGGACAACTCAGCTAAGCTAGACCAACTGGTTTTTGTGTGTGTGAATGGTTTAAACAATGATCACCAAGCATTTGCCTCCTTCAGCAGCCCAATTAGAAAATGACCTGTTGTACCCTATTTGCTCCTCAGATTTACAGGAGAGGCTCTCTGTAGTGACAGGTGACCAGAAGGCTCTGGCATTCCTGATTCAGCCTGCATTGAGGATCAAAGACATGACCCGGCTGCAGAGAGGTAGGAACCAGTCACCAGGACTCCAGGTCAGTGGCCCTAGAGTTTCTCTATGGACCAGAGATAGAGTAAACATTAGGCCAACTCTGAGTTTGTGTTTCCTTGGTCAAATGAGCAATTGGAATTTAAAATTTCCCATTCCCAGATTTTTGTGGAACTAATTTTAAACCCAGAGCATATGCCCTGTAGAAAGGTGTTGCTTGGAACCCTCATGCCTATCTAAGACTCAAATAATGCCCTGGTTCAGCTTTCCCTGCACACTCATTTAAGTTATGCTAATGGAATTCATAATGTGTAGACTAGTATTTGTTTTGTGATGAAAAATGACTGAGAGATGGATGCCTTACCAAATCCCTTAGCAAACATTTTCCAATTCCAGTTCAAAGGCTGTCATTAATGTGTTTTCCCTCTAAGAATAACCAAGAAACATGTGGAACACTTTTCCACAACCGATTCATTTGTTCTCTGGGATGTGCAAAACCAGGGCAGACTTGAAAATGACATGAACATTGAATGTCCTGTGAGCCAACACACAGATCCATCAGCAGGTGGGAGTCCTGACTGATGGGACGTGAAGAGAACCTCGGTCTAATCTTTGGCTAAATGCTATGCAATGCAAACATAGCAACAAACCTTAGGAAGCAAGATTTAAACATTTTATAAATGAACAGACATGAATGGCTACACACTCCAGCAGGGACAAACTTCACAAATTTGCTGGAGGCAACTTATTAAACAAAACAAGGACAACCCTCTATAAAGAACACTAGCTGAAATTCAGTAAGATTAGAAAGCAAAAAAAAAAAAATTAGAAAACAAAGAAATAAGAAAATGTGACCCTTACTAAGGAAGAAATAGAAACTATCTCGAGATGTTAAATTTATCATAGATTTAAAAGCATCTGTTGTGAACATGTTCAAAGAACTAGTGCAAGTCATATTTAAAGAATTAATGAAAACTATGATAAAAATGATGCAATGCATGGAGAATCTCTATTAAGATAGAGAGTATATGAAAGGCCAAATAGAATTTGGAGATGAAGAATACAATGATCTGAAACTCATTGATATGACATGGTAGAAGAAAGAATTCATTAACCCTGAAGAATCAAAAGAAATTATTCAATCTGAAGAGAAGAGAGAAAACAATGAAGAAAAGTAACAAAGCCTGAGAGACCAGATCAATATCAAGTGTTTCAACACATTTCCAAGAACAATCCCAGAAGAGAGACAATAAAGGACAGATAAGTATATTTGAAAAAATAATTGTCAAAAAAATTCTCAAATTTGCCGTGGCCGGGTGGCTCAGTTGGTTGGAACATTATCCCATACACCAAAACACTGTGGGTTCAATTCCTGTAAGGGCACATACCTAAGTTGTGGTTCTGATCCCTGGTCAGGGTGTGTATGGAGGCAACACTTCGATGGTTCTCTCTCACCATGGTGTTTCTCTCTCTAAAATCAATAAACATATCCTCAGATGAAGATTAAAAAACAAACTCATGTTTGATGAAAAACATAATGTACATATCACAGTCCAACTATTAAAAGTCGAGGCTGAGAAAAACTTCTTAAATGTAAGAAATAATCAACCTATCACCAAAGGAAAAATTTTGATTAATAGCTAATTTCTCTCCAAAAATAATGGAAGTGTCTCTGGGGTAATATATTCAAAGTTATTTAAAAAAAACAAAACTGCCAGTCCAGTATGGCTCATTGGTTGAGTGTCGACCTATAGAACCAGGAGGTCACAGTTCAATTCTCAGTCAGGGCGCATGCCAGGGTTGCTGGCTTGATTTCCAGTAGATGGCATGCAGGAGGCAGCCAATCAATGATTCTCTTTCATCATTGATGTTTCTCTCACTCTCCCTTCCTCTCTGAAATCAATAAAAAATATATTTTTTAAAAAGAAAACCTTTAAAAAAGAAAAAAAAAATCAGTCCATGTATTATGCTATACCCAGCAAAACTATTCTTTAAAAAAGGCAAATTAAAGATATTCCCAACAAGGACTGAAAATATAAGATAACAGTATAGTATTGTATTGTTGAGTTGTAATATATAAAGATATTACAAATGACAATAATAGCACAAAGAGAAGAAAATGCTAAAATATAGTTAATCCATGTTACCAGAATTAAATTTGTATTATTTTGAAGTATACTATGATAAGTTGATGTGTATTATCATCCCTAGAGCAACCACTAAAATGTAACTTAAATAAGAGAGGAACACAAGGGACCTCTTTAGCTATGAGAAAAACAGAAAACAAAAAGTGATATAGCAGATATTATAAACAACTATATCAATATTAAACATGAATGAACCATACCCAACTGAAATAACAGAAGAGATTGCCAGACTGGATTTTAAAAAAGCAAGATCCAGCTGATAAAGGACTTGCCGTCACAATATGTGATTTCTTAAAATGAATAAGACAAACAGTGCAATATACAGATGATGATGTACTGTAGAACTGTATACCAGAAACCTACATAATTTTACTGACCGATGTCACCCCAATACATTCAAATTTTTAAAAAAAGAAGAAGAAGACTATAAGAAGTACTGTACAAGATGTGGAGACACTGGAACCCTCAAACACTGGTGGTTGGAATATAATATTGTTGTATAGTTATTTTGGAAAGAATTCCTCAGGTTCATAAAAGTTACCACATGACTCATCAACTTTAATCCAAAAGTCTACCAGGAGAAATGAAACACAAATCCACATAGACATGTACACACATATACATATACACACACAAAGAGGGAGAGGGTGGAAGGGAAGAGCAAAAGGGAGGCGGCAATAGAAAATTAGGCAAATGAACACAACTAATGAACCTCTGTCAAGAGTAAATGGAAGTTACTTCTATTATTCTGTTAACATTTCTGTAAGTTTGAAATTACATCAAATTTAAAATTATTTTTTTTAAAAGGGGCACAAATATCATGTGGCAAGTTCCTGCAATCAACATCCTCAATGAAGACTATATACAGCTTAAAAGTTATTAGAAAACTACAGGTAATTTTAATAAAATCACGTCAAGAATATAATTTGGTTAAATATAAAAAGCAATAAAATATACTCTAATTTTTCTATTGAGTTAAATAAATTTGTAAATCCTGTAACAGCATGTTCATATTCACAAAATCTGAATGAAAAACAAACACAATTTCCCATTTCTGATACAGTGTAATTCAAAAGTTCATTTTGAAGGGGACTGAGCTTTTGATCTAATTTTACTTTCAATATCAAGCATCATTATATACTTATTCAAAAGACTGCAGTCCTGAAATAAATTTCATTAGTGACCATGATAATGTTAAAAAAAAAAAAACCACAAAAATGCATGGTACATTTTTAAAAGTTTATAATCACTTAATTCTGATTGTACCTTTACATTTACAATTCACTATTTTTAAGATTTTTTTTTTAAACACAATTTTATATGTGGACAATCTGGAGCATAATTAAGTGTATCTTAATGAAGTTTCCACAGATGTATGTAGAAATATGGTGTACCAGCAGCCAAACAGCATCATTTCTTTATCAAAGATCAATGGTACTACCTAGAAATGAGGACAATTCTTCAACAATTTCATTTTTTCTAAGTAAAAAGACTTCCAAGGAGCTCAAGGCACAATTTTATTTACATCTAGTAGAGTAACCCAGCATAAAATCATTATTTATGTGCAACTTAATAACTGATGGACATTTCTCAAACAAGCTGTTTCAATCCTGATAGTTCTTTATTTTCTTTAACATAGTTGCTATGGATTGCTAATTTGCAATAGGTGTCATCATGAGAATAACCAAAAGTAGATAAATGTGACAAAAGGTTGATAAAGTGTTTCACACACTTGAGTGATACCAGGTCAAAAATGGGAGAGAAGTGTTGCAAAAGGAGAGTACTGCAATGCTACTTATATTCTTGCAATAAAACCAGCAACGGACCCATTTCAAGAGAGATCACCTCAATTCCAATTTCTTCCCCTCAAGAACAATTTGAATCTCTTTGGCATCCAAAGTCTCATAGGTCAATAAAGCTTCTGCTAGATTCTTATGCTCTTTTGCATGAGTCTTCAAGATATGTTTTGCTCGTTCATATGAGTCCTAAAATAGAAAAACAGATCTATAAGAGGCAAAAAAAACTTAGGAGAAGCAAAAACCATAAATGAGAAAAGAAAAAATCTATGTACCCTAAAAATGTGAAATCAATTTATTTCTATTTATAAAGATAAAAGCATTTAAAAATTTTTTATTGATTTTAGAGAGGAGAGAAACATCAATTTGTTGTTCCACTTATTGATGTATTTATTCATTGGTTGATTCTTTTTTTCTTATTTAATCCTCACCCGAGGACAAGCATAGAGAGAGGAAGGGAGAAAGAGAGAACCATGGATGTGTGAGAGAAACATCAATTGGTGGCCCTCCTTATGTGCCACAACCAAGAATTGAACCAGCAACCTTTGGTGCACAGGACCATGCTCAACCATGGAGCCACTCCAGCCTGGCCATTGGCTGACTCTCATACGTGCCCTGTCCCGGGATCAAATCTATAAACTCAACTTATCTGGACAACGCAACTAAGCTACCCAGCCAAGGCAAATAAAAACATATAAAAGCTTGGTTCCCAAAGATAATACTTTTGTACTTTCCAAATGTTTTATTTTTTACCTCAAAATCTATCACATAGAAAAATGATTACCTCGATCAAAAGGTACTTTAAAAAATTAAAGTATACTTTGTACTTATCTGCTTTTTAAATAAGGCCTCTGAACATAGAAATCTATTTATCTATTCAGTATGTATGTTTAAAAAGAAGGAAATTTGCTCCTTTTGCGTCTTCATTTCACTGATTTATTTAACAACCAGAAAAGACCTATTTCCGTTATTCACTTGTATAATATACTTACTTGTTAATTTGTGACAACTATCACAGTATTATTACAGCTGATCCCTGATTTTCATACATTTTTCTTTGCAAGCCCACCTTGAATTTGTCACTTAAGTCCTTCAATTGTCTTTTCAAAAGTGAGTTTGGGTTGAGTTTATTAGGTCGTAAGATAACGACACTACTAACAATTCATTTGTGGCAGCGTCACATCTGTCTGTACTATGTTTTTGCCAATATTTTTATATTTAGTCATATTTTTGCCCTTATAAAAATGGGTGGAAAAGAACTTGGGCCAGTATTGACTGGCCCCCAGGCCTCCTGGCCATCCTAGCCAGCTGGCACAGCAGGGGTGGCTATCGTTTCTGACCACAAGACCATGCCTGGGATTGGGCCCAGGGATAGAGGTGAGCTCCACCTGCTGCTCTGCCTGAGATCCTGAGGTTGATCTGAGGATCCCTCTCAAGCCAAAAAGCCAGGACCTTTGCACATCCATTGATTCTGGCTGGTCCCAGTCTTTGGGGACCCACGCCACCATCACAAGTAGCAGAAGAGGATTTCTGGGCTGATCCTTACCAACACAGATGATGTAAACACTCTAAACTGTGATGTTTTTGTATCAATGTTTGTGCAATGATGAATGTACTCCCTCTTCTATCAAGCTCTACTCCTTTCAAGTTCATGCTATTTGACTACAGCCTTACCCAACAGCCTTCACTGTGCTACCTAAGTCCATATTCACTAAAGACTTCTGGCTCTTGGCTCGGTCTCCTTCTCCATTCCAAGACCTACCTTCATGCAAACCCAAATAGAACCAAGAGCTAGCTCCACACCCATGAATCTTTCCCAACTTTTAATCTTCACTACACTACCTCCAATTCAACAAATATGAAACTGACCTTATGACCTACATCCTTGCCAGCCTTAGGCCATCACCGTGTTTACTCAGTAAATGATACAACTGAGTTGCATGGGGCAGAAATCTAAAATATTGTTTTTAGATTCATAGCTGCTCTCTCAACCAAAATATCACAAAGGCATTTGATTCCACTACATCAGTATCTCTTGAACCCACACGTTTCTCAATTTCTACATTTCACCACCCTAACCCGAGCATCCATTATACCGTGACTAGATGACCACAGTACCTACCAACGATCTCACTGAATCTACTCTTACACATTCTTTTATCCTAATCTGTATTGAACCCTGCAGTCAAAATGTCCTTTCTTTTGCTTATTCAGTATTCTGAGCATATGCACACTGCTAGGCACAAGCAAATAACACATGCTGAATATATGTCAGAATGGGAAAACAATAAATAATCAATAATCAATACAGTTCATTCTATTAACTCTTATGGTTTTATAAATAAAATTAAATATTTATAATCACTAATATAAACTGTTCTTAGCCTACAGTCAGAATAAAATAAAGATCCAGTCTATGACCAAAGGTCTCTAACAACATATTTAAATCAAGGTTGCCCCCTGGCCAGTGTGGCTCAATGATTAGAGCATCGGTCTGTGCACCAAAGGAGTGTGGATTCAATTCCCAGTCAAGACTCATCAAAGGCACATTCCTGGGTTCCAGGTTTGATTCCAAGCCCTGGTAGGGGCCTGTGTGGGAGGCAATTAATCAATGTGTCTCTCTCACATCAATGTCTGTCTGTCTGTCTGTCTCTCTCTCTCTCTCTCTCTTTCTCTCTCTCTCTCTCTCCTCTCACACACACACCTCCACCCCAGCCCCATCCCTTCCACTCTTTCTAAAAAATCAATGAAAAAAATATCCTCAGGTGAGGATTAACAAATAAATAAATAAATCATGGTTGAAATAGTGCACCTATTATCTTTATTTCTAAAGAACAAAAGGGTTTAACCCAACTATTTAGGCACATTATGACTAAATAAATAAATGTAGAAAAATATGATCATTACCTTCAGAAGGATTCTGATTTCTTGTTCAATAGCTGATTGCGTTTCTGGACTTAGTTTCCCCGTATCACTGTAGGTCATAACTCCAAGCTAAAACAAATGGGAAGAAATTGAACAGAAAACAAAACAAAACAAAAAAACTCCACAAATAAAATATAACAGAGGAAGTACCATCCTATACATAAGAAAACCAATTTCATGCAGGGAAATTAAGAAATTCAATATAAAATGGCCTTAAGGGCAAAGAAATTTTATCATTTTTCTGAAAGTATAACACTAAAACTAAAGTGTGAGCAAGACAGAAAATTTAAAATCATAAGTATGCTAGTGAGTGCCTTCTTAGAAAATCTTGGCAGCTATTCCAAGTCCAGAAATCCACAATTCAGAGTATTAGAATTGCTTCATGGAACCACAGCGATAATGCAAGAAAGTGAAAAGGGTAAAGTATGGCAGACTCAGCAAGTAGATTTTTTATGTCATATGAATAGAAACGGCTAAAGAATTTGTCTTATCATTTTGTTAACTCATGAACGAATAATTATTAGTGTTCAAGTAGCTAGAATGGAAACAGAATACTAAATTACTCAGAAAATAAGGTTTAGTTTAGAATAAGTAAAGACAACTCCATTTGGAATGAGACAGAGGAAAGTAAATGTTATCAATTTAAAATGAAAACCCTCTCTCGAGACACTTGGCACATATCATTGGAGACATGAGGAATAATAAAATTAGCCAATACCTTTTCACTCATTCCAAATTTGGTAACCATCCACTTTGCTATTTTAGTTGCATTATCGAAATCACTGGAAGCACCTAAAATTTTAAAATAAATATAGAACTCATTTAAAAAAAAATATCTTTAAACCAACAAACACAATTTGAACTAATGCCATTCTTTACAGCCAACCTGTTGTTATATGGTCAGTTCCAAATATAAGCTCCTCTGCCACTCTTCCTCCCATACTAACATCCATTTGTGCAAGCAGCTGAGCTCTGGTTTCATTCCACCTGTCATTCTCAGGCAACAGGGAAACCTAGACAATTGAAAAACAGAAAAAAATTCAGAGAGTTTTGGAACACCTACAATAACCAGAATTATCATCTGGCCCTCTCACCTTACTTAATACCATGATGCTGAAAGCCCAAAGACATTTAGTAGAGATGACCATCAGGTGACTGATGACAAAACCAGCAATTTATAAAATAAGGAAAATTATTTTATAAGTGGCGGGGGGGAAAAAAAGGACACTTATGTAATACCCTTTGTAATACTTTAAGCGAAAAATAAAAAAATATTAAAAAAAAAAAAAAAAAAAAAAAAAAAAAAAGAAAAATCTTAAAAAAAACTACTGAGCCAGTACATTTCTTTTGTGGGGGGAAAAATGCAATTACATAACTAAGAATTATAATTTGCTGCTATTCCAGAATTAAATTTTATATTATAATATATAATATCTAGAATATTAAGGATATTCTTTATTAAAAGATAAATTTCACAAGAATCTCTAATTTCAAGATGGATCAGGAAGTTAAAGAAAATATCAACAACCCTAGCTGGTTTGGCTCAGTGGATAGAGCATCAGCCTGAGGACCAAAGAGTCCCAGGTTCGATTCTGGTCAAGGGCACATTCCTGGATTGTGGGCTCAATCCCCAGTAGGGGATGTGCAATAGGGAACCAATCAATGATTCTCTGTCATCACTGATGTTTCTATCTCCCTCTCCCTTCCTCTCTAAAATCAATAAAAATACTTAAGAAAAAAAGAAAAGAAAGAAAGAAAATATCAACAGCCCTAGCTGATTTGGCTCAGTGGATAGAAGGGTCCCGGTTTCGATTTCAGTCAAGGGCACATGCCAGGTTTCGGACTCAATCCCCAGTGGGAGGCGTGCAGGAGGCAGCCGATCAATGATTCTCTCTCATCATTGATGTTTCTATCTCTCTATCCCTCTTCCTTCCTCTCTGAAATCAATAAAAATATATAGTAAAAACATATGAGAAAATATCAACAAATTTAGCAAGTAGCTGAATGTTGTCTTAAAGGGATTTTATCAGCAATTTCATGCATATCCTTCTGGAAAGTGCTATCTAAAAGCAAAGAAAAACTGCAAGATACTTACATGTCCAAGTGTTGGCCCTCGAGGCATGATTGTAGCTTTGTTGATAGGCATTGCATCTTTAGTGTAATATGCAATAATAGCATGGCCAGATTCATGATATGCAGTGATGGTTTTGTTTTTGTTATCGATTTCCACACTTCTACGTTCAGGCCCTAAAAGCAAAAAATTAATCAGGTTAAATGCTCCATTAGAGAGATATATTTAAAGGAATGAAACCCATCCGCTTCAAAGTTGTTCTCAGAGTAACATGATTTAATTTCATTAAGAAATATTTTAAACAAAGTAAAAGCTTAAAAATAAGTACATATTAACTACAACAATGTCAACTGAAAACCAAAATTGTTAGAACTATCATCTTACTCTCATAGCCAAAGGGAGAGCTTAATTATATTTCTAGAAATTAAACTTTCAATTTAAAAGGAATGTCTTATCTAACCTGTTTTGAAGCCAATTCATGAGTTATAGTAAAAAATACTAAGACGAGTAAAATTAACTATCCTTTCATCAGCAATATTAGACAAGAGTAGAAACATAGGCACCCATGATCTACATTTGTCTGTGAGAGCCAAATTGTTTTTCTACATTCAAATATATATTTTCATGTCCCTATACATTTGTTTTTATTATTATTTGTTGTTGTTAATCCTCACCTGAGGATATTTTTTCCATGGATTTTTAGAAAGTGTATAAAGGAGCAAGGTGGGGAAAGGGAGAGAGGGAAAGAGGGAAGGAAGAAAAAGAGAGAAAAACATTGATTTCAGAGAGGCACATCGATTGGCTGCCTCCCACACCTGCCCTGATTAGGAGCTGTGATCTAACCTGCAACCCAAGTGCATGCCCTTGACTGGTAATCAAACCCTCAGCCCTTCAATACTGAAGCCAAGATTCTAACCACAGAAAAACACTGGCAGGGCTACCTTTGTTTTTTTAATAACCTCTAAAATGAAGAATTTATTCTCTAACATACTGAATAGTATAAGACAGGAAAATAAAGAAAACCTACCCATTAAAATTTTATCTTTGGAAAACTCAAGTTCTTTCATGGTAACCATTTCTTTTCCATCAACAGCTGCCTTTAAAGCAGCTTGGTTCACAAGATTCTCCAACTCTGCTCCAGAGAAGCCAACAGTACCTCGAGCTATGATTTCTGGATCAACAGCTGTGTAGATATAACACAATATATTAAAGTTCCAAAACAGCCAAAAGAAAGTTTGCCAGAAAGAACCCAAATTCCGAAAGAAAAAAACAAAACAGCCATCGTGAACTATAATTTAAAATATTTATCTTAATTAAACTAAAAAATTTATTTTACTAACTTCTAAGGGAAAAAAGTCAAAATTGTTATAAATATGACATTAAAACTGCCATTGGGACAAATAACAAAAGCTCTTAAATTTAAATAACTTTGTGAAAAAACAAAGAAATGTAGAGTTATCTGATCATTTAAAAACCTTTAGTTATGACCTATATCATTAGTGGCCTAATGGCAAATCGAAAAAGCATACTCATAGACATTTTTTTTCCCCTAAAATTTCATTTTGAAATATTTTGGACATAAAAGCTCCCTTTATTATGGAAAACTTATTTGGGTTTTTGTTGTTGTTGTTTTTTTCTTGATTCAGCTATCTTGAAAATACTGCAGCTTTAATAGCTGCTTTTATTACTCGGGTTGGTCCATGATATTTCCTTTCCGTGTGTTTTGTTTCACAGGTGATTTTCCCCTCCTTTGACACCAAAGGGACTATATCATGAGATACTGTGCTCATAATATGCAGGTGTTTTTTCTATTGCTTCATATTTTACATTTATCTTTAAAAACATACATACATTCATCTTTAAGTATTATCTATCTGAATACTCCAAAGAAAACTTTCATTCGAATCAGAATTCAAAATGATAAAATCTACTGGATATGCAGTAAGTTATGAAATGGACTTTTTTTTTTTTTAAAAAAAGGACATATAAATGGAAGAAAAAATGATGTATAAAAGAACTGGTCTTTTAAAACATTGCTCAAGTAAGAACCACAAACAGGATGAATTGACATATTACCATTTTATGGAGATAACAATGTTTGTATCATGGAATAAGACTTACACTGATCAAACTTTATTTTATTGAGATACCATTTCAAAATTTCTGTTCGACCTCTTACATCTGGCCTTGGAACTGTAACCTGCATGTCAAAACGACCAGGACGAATTAAGGCACTAAAGAGAGAATACAAAAAGAAAATGAAAATTAGTAAGCTGACTATGCTGAAGGCCAAGTTAAACAGGACCACCACACTAAGGAGAGGTTGGAAAGACAATGCAACCAGAGGTTAGATGGAGTTCTGAAGGTAAGTATTCAGATAGTTCCTTATAAAACATGGCTCAAATAAGTTTTAATAACCAGAAGACAGAGCAAAGGTATACATTGATAAATGTGTACCTACAGACAGCAGACACCCCTCAGAAACAAAAATGTGCAGGTCAATCAGCCAGGGAACAGATAATTCTATACCAGTCTATTAGAGTCTCAGGCAAAGACAAACTATTAAATGAAACAAAAATATGAATAACTTTTATAATAACATCAATAAAAATTTTAAATTATACTAAATTTTATTTTATTTTATTTTAAATATATTTTATTGATTTTTTACAGAGAGAAAGGGAGAGAGATAGAGAGTTAGAAACATCGATGAGAGAGAAACATCCATCAGCTGCCTCCTGCACATCTCCTACTGGGGATGTGCCCGCAACCCAGGTACATGCCCTTGACCGGAATCGAACCTGGGACCTTTCAGTCCGCAGGCCAACGCTCTATCCACTGAGCCAAACCGGTTTCGGCACTAAATTTTATTTTAAAAGTGCTCTCCAGCCCTAACCAGTTTGGCTCAGTCGATAGAGCATCGGCCTGCGGACTGAAAAGACACAGGTTCTATTCCAG